GGTCCTTTCCATTACTGACTGCTAGCACCCATCCTATAGTCGGCAGCAACACTCAGGAACCAGGTTCGGGCAGAGCAGGTGCAGGTAACTTCTTGGAGTGAATGAATGAGGCCCATGTCACAGAACACAGAATCAGCAAGATGGCGCAGGCATTGAGGCAGGCAGAGTGACCATTATCTCTCAATCTGCGGCCGCTATACCAGGTAAATGGAATGATCAAGCACTTCTTAACTTCTTTAAAGCCACAGGATTAATTTGAGGCATTTCTGTGTCATCATTCTTTAGTGAATTTAAAAGCTACAGACCAAAGCGGAAAGAACCGAAGAATTAGAAGACATGAATTTCATTGATAGCTTTATTATCTCAGTTTCCCCATTGGTGTGATTGGAGAAGAAAGGAAAAATAAATGCAGAAGCATTCTTGAAACTCTGATGTGATATGCAAATCGGAAGTATTACAATGGTATTATTTGACACATAACACCATTTGATTCTCTTGCTTCTCCAGGCCGAGAGGTACATGTGGGTCAAATTACCATCTAAGTGATAAAAGATGAAAGCTGAGTGTATCACTAGGTGTTCTCTAGCCTCCAGCAATAAAGAGAAAGTAGCTCTTTGTTTGGGTTTACCTTCTAGCTTTCCTTTTGAGGAAAAGGGTGAACTGTAATGGTAACAATATGTAATACAACAACCATTGTTAATTTCCTATCATCTTATTTTGAAATTCTGTATTGTTTTCATGTTGTTTTGTTTTTATCTTCGTTGTTATTTTGCTTTCTTTTCTCTTTAAGATAAAAAAAGCAAAACAAACTGTAATGTGGGTGATTTTGTGGTGTAGACAAAAGCTCCAGAGGAGCTGGTCAGAAAAACCATTGCAGTTGAGGTTGCTGACTGTGACTCACAGAGATAAAAAATGAGTATGTTATTAACAATATAATTTATGGAAGCAAATTTTCAGCAAAATACAAGGCAAAATCAGTCTTTAAAAAGCTAAACTCATCTTGTACACTACTGTTCCTAGAATAAATGCTACCTTATATAGGAATAACTGTCTATTTTATTATACATCTGATACATTTTCATCTGAAAACTCTACATTATTTTTTTATTTATTATTTATGGAATGCAAGAAAACAATATATAGCATCATACGATGCACATCCTATAGGCTCAGCCTCTGCCTTCGGGAGTATATAACCAAATACAAGTGTAAACAGGACTAGCCCACCATTGCAAAACAGATGATACGGCCCCTCTTTGCCATCCCTCAGTGGGACACTACTAGGGTAAAGCAGACTCTCTGCTCAGGTTTGTCCTTCTTTGACACACTTAAATTAACGTGAGCAACTGACTGTCCTTAGTATCCATTTAAGTCCAGGAAAAGTTAGGCTCAAAATATAATTAGGATGCACCCTCAATTCCAAAGTAAGGAAAGAAAAGCATTGATAAGATCTCAAGGTTAACAAAGAAAAGCTCTGTCCCTACAAATATAGTAAGTCCTCCTCACCAAAATTAGAAAACTGTAAATTAATAGTTAAAGGAAAATTAAAACAATCCCATATTCAGAAGTGAAAGTGAAGTAAATCTCTCTAATTCAATACTCAACGTTTTTGTAGAGCTTTATAGGGACCCAGTTTTCAACACTATGTTGAGGACATAAGAGGTACTTGAAAAATATTCGCTTTTATTTTCATAAGCCATCTTTGTCCATTAAAATAGCTTTCTGCTTCTGCTATTTCAGAGATAAACTAATAATTCACAGAAGTGCATTAATGACTTAAAACCAACCAATTGTATTAATGATTTTAAACTAAATGATTTTTTTTTTTTGAGACAGGGTCTCGCTATGCAATTCAGGCTGGCCTTGAGCTCACTTTGTAATCCAGGCTAGCCTTGAACTTGCAATGATCCTCCCACCTCAGCCACCCAAGTACTGGGATTACAGGAGTGTACCACCATGCCTGGCTAAACCAAATGATTTAAAACCACTGATTTAACACCAAACCATTAAGCCAGGGATATATCTCAGTGGTACAAGCACCTGCCTGGCAAGCACAAGGTCCCAAGTTCAATTCCTGATACTGAAAAATAAATAAATTAAATAAATAAAACCAAACCATTAAAATAGCTTTTTGTTTCTGCTATTTCAGAGATAAACTAATCATTCATAGAATTGCATTAATGATTTCAAACCAATGATCCTTCCTTCTTTGAATGAGGCCTGGGAGAGAAAAATGGAGTTAGCAAATTTGTCCTCTGCCGTCCACTCCATCCTGGCTTGGGCCACCTTAGTGGATCCTTAGGAAATGCTAATGGCAGAGTGCTATACCTTCTCCTAGGTTAGTTTATCTAACAATTTATGGTATAGTCAATCTTCTTTCTATAAACTGTACTCCCATGGAACAGGAATCTCATTGAAAACAGGTCTAGTATATGGGAGTGGTACTGAATTATTTAATTATCTCATTACAAGTTTTTTAAAAAGAGAAATTGTAATGTTTGGGGTTATTTATTTTAAACTATCTAATTGACAGATCAGGATTGTATATACTGAAGGTGTACAACATGGTGAATTGATATGTGTACACACTGTATAGTGATTATCACAGTCAAATTAATTAACATATTTAGTGCCACCCTGGTACCCCAGGGCTCGTGCATCTTATACCTGAATGTTTGGTACCCTTTCGCCATTATCTCCTCATTTCTCCCATCTCCTGCCCCGCTATGGCAGAACCTTGGCTCCATAGTCTAAAATTATAGGTTGAGTCCAACAGAAGATATTTAATAGGACCCTATTAAAATAAAGTTCAAAGTTACAGCTAAACTGAAAGCATATTAAAACTGGAGGAGATTGCTAGGCCACAAAGATGAGGCCCTCATGCACCATACTTCTTCTCTGGCAGATTTTATTCTCCTCTTTCTTTGAATCTGATAATATATTGTCTAGAACCCAAGAAATCACTAGCCTTCAAACATAAAGCTCAATTGTAGAGCTGCATTGAATTGAATGTGTTTCAAATTATTTTGAGACAGGGTCTCGCTAAGGCACTAAGGTGCCAAGGCTAGGCTGGAACTTGCGATCCCCTGCCTCAGACTCCCAGAGTGCTGGGATTACAGGCATGTACGACCAGACCCAACTAAAAAAATATTATTTTTTGAGAGAATAAAATGTTCGTATGCACCAGATATACGATTGTGACATAAGTCTCTATGTTACCTCTGAGTACAGCGTAAAGTTTATCAGCAGACTAAGTGGTTTCAGGTTATGGAAAAAAAATGTCTAGGAGGGACCAAGAATCCCTCTGTGAGAGAAGAGACAAGGTTTAAGAGGGTTATATGGAAAGCAAGAGCAGATATAAGACATGATCTTGGCAGATTTCATAGACTCACAGATCCGCAGAATGGTTACTGTAGCCTGTAGCCCATTTTATCAGGGAAAGGGACTGGGTAACAACCAGCAGGAAAAGATAAAAAAGAGTTTGTTCTGAAAGGATAATTTGAAGGTTCTTATGACAGGTCTTCAGAGCCAAACTGTGTGAAGTCTGGTGAAAAATGAAAATTAGACCTTTCACCAAAAAAGGTATTGTCTCAGATTACATTATCAGCACACAGCAGAGCAGCCACCTGGGTAAACGTGTGTGCGCGTTCACGGCGCTCTCACCTAAGTTACGGGTTGCACATATTAATCAAATAGCACCACTCCGCCATCTGCTTTTCCATTACCTGTCCTACTTTGTGCCAATTTCCTTCCTCCTCCCCAACACCCTTTGCTTCACTGTTCTTCTTTAAAACATGGGATGGGGATTTGTCAAAGTCAATGAGCACTTTATTACAGTGAGAACGTTCTGTAATGAACAATTCAGCAATTTAATGAGATTCTGTAGATCTGTCTCCAGCCTGTCCATCAAGTTTCACTTCTATAAAGCACCCTGACACTAATCCTCTGGCATACCCAATCTTCACCCTGGGCTGAATATTAGATTCTTCCATGGTATATTGCATTACTAGTATAACCTCAGCAAAAATGATGAACTTAACTATACTTGAGGCAATATAGCTGGTCTGATTTGATTTTCCCCTATTGAGTTGAGTATGAGGGAATTACTTATTTACTAAGATAAAGCACAAACAGTTTCTTATTGCCAGCTGAATGCCTAAATTGATAATACTTATGTGAGTCTTTTAATTCTTTCTTGAGGACCAGGTCCTTAGGAAAAGCTATTGCCTGCAGCAGAAGCCAGTTTTTAAAATTCTACATTATAACACTAGTATCCTTTAGAGAGGCAATTATGACAACTCCTAGGTGGACAATATAGAATTTCCTCAACACTCAGACATCTGTACCTTTCATGTGGATTGCTGGCAATGCCTTCAACCATGCTATAGTAAGAGAAAAATGCCACATGGAGGGGTAGCCACAAAACTCAATTCACTTAGAAAAAACTAAATGCAGAATCCACCCCAAGTCTTTCTTTTTCTACTGGGAAGTGAAGAAAATTTTGCAACTTTCCACTTTGAATTGACATCAGAGTAAACGCTGATAAATTATGCCATAAGGGGGAGGTGGATATCATTGCAACTCCTACCCAAATCACTCATCACTAGTATTTTCAACTTCTTCTTCAATACATCCCCTGACAAACTCGAGGAAAAAAAAGTCGAACCGAATATGCATAAATGTCACTGTAAAATCCATTTTTTTCTCATGCTGTTTTTGCGAAGGAACGCCATCCCTTCTCTTTTTCTGATGTGACCAGGTCAGAGCTTTGGGCAGGCACAGGTAGAGTGTGAGGAATCCCACCTGCTGTCTCCTGAGTTCAGTGGCACAGTCGGCTGAGGCCTTTTCAGCTGGTGTTTTCAAGTCACTTACCCATGAAGGGAGCAGGGCTTGTAAAACACCAACCACAGGTCAAATAATGCTACTGCTCCTCCATCCTTTAGCATCTAGTCATGTCAGCCTTTTTGGTGCCAACAGAGGACCTGGGCAGAGCCCCTTACCTGCCAGATCTGCTCTTCACTCAGCGACGTCAGCCGGTCACTCTTCAGGACCTCCTGCAGCAGGCAATAAGGAAGCGTCAGAACATCTTCTGGGCGGCTCTTCAGGAGTTCAGAGAGATGTTTCACTAAGAAATCGACCACTGCCTTCTCCAACAAAGTGAGGTTAAAGAGGTCAGCAAGTCTGTACAGATCCAAGTAATTAAAGCTATTTAATTCCTGGATGCAAAAAAAAAAAAAAAAAAAAAAAAAGGAAAATAAAACATCTCTCAGAAATCAATTCAAGAAGGAGCAGACAACAAAGTCAGATGAACTCACTAGGGTTTTCATGATAGGGTGGAAGAATGTGAGTGCTTTTTTTTTTTTTTTTTTTTTTTTTTTACAACGTCAGTTATAAGTGCCTGGGCAGAAAACTGCTGCTATTTTAGAATTCATAAAATTTCCTCACTTTACACCTCTTGAAGTCCATATATTTATAGACATTGCTAAAAGGGGACTTACTGAAAGAGCTCTCCGATTTCACTGGCTAAAATGTTACCTTGCAACCTTTTGGAAGTCTTTCACTAATGAGGGCCACTGGTTTCTCTACCCCTGCCATATTCGGCAGCTCTCTTTTTCTACTAAACGTACTATAAGGTCGGGTAAACCGGAACTCCTGAGTAACTGACAAAGTTATATGAAGACAGACTGAGTCTGCTTTTTTTTCTAAAACTTCAGACTAAGTCTGGCTTTAAGTAAAACAGCCCATCCTGACTTTGTGAAATTAAAACACAAATTTTCATATGTAAATGTTATGGTTTGTGTCTGGATGTCCCCCCAAAGCCTTGTGCAGTCACGGGGCCAGCTTTTAGAGTTTATGATTGATCCATGATCCAACGCTGGGAATATGGATGTGAATGCTACATCCGCCCTGGGGCGGATAGTTTGCATATGTAAGGGAGAGAAAGAGGCTGCTTGCTGCCATGCCTCCCTTTTGCTCTCACTGCTTTTGCCATCTCCCTGCCACCATAAACTGTTGCCCTCTGCCATGTGCCACCCTACCTTGGAGCCAGCTGAGTATAGACTGAAACCTCCCCAGACTGTGAGCTAAATAAACCCTTTCTTCTTTAATTTTGGTTGTCGGGTACTTTGTCTCAGTAACAAGAGAAAAGTAACCAAGACAGTAAAGTTTCGGGAAATAAGGAATTTTGGTGGGGAGGACGAGAAATTGAACTCAAGCCCTCATGCTTGCCAGGCAGGCACCTTGCCACTGAGCTATATCCCTGGAAAATAAGGACATCTGAGAAAAAAAGACTCCTGTCCTGAATATTCTTATATTAAACCCATCTAAAATGATTTATAATTATTCTTCTTTTTTTTTTTTTGTTAGCCTCAAGTGCTGATACCACCAGTGGCATTCTCTCTTGCCTTTTCAAATAATTTCTATAGCAATAGCTCCACTTGGCGGGATGTTACCTGTCTCCTAGGTTCTCAAACTCACAGCCAGGGCTCTGTAATAGTAATAATAGCAACAGAAATGTTGCCTACTTTAAGTGGAATGAGAATGGGCTGTGTCCTAGTTTCGCCTCATTTTTACCTTATAATTATTAATATATGAGCCACATATCACAACAACATGAGTACGGGATGCCACAAGATAGCTGTTTTACTCTATTGACCTGTTTAAGTAAATTCAAGCTATTTTCCCTAGTTATCTAAGAGTACCTAGCGATAGAGGAAGACAGGGAAAAGAAAAGAGCAAGATGTGATGTGTATTCATGAGGTTTTAAACAAGAAGATTCTAGGGGCTGGGAATCTAGCTCAGCGGCACAAGCACCTGCCTGGCAAGCATGAGGTCCTGAGTTCAATTCCTGGTGCCAAAAACAACAACAACAACAACAACAACAACAAAAGAGAATATTCTAAATCTGTGGTGTTCCATATGGTAGCCTCCAGCCATGGGTGGCCATTGTGCATTTGAACTATGGCTATTCAAAATGAAATGTGCTATAAATATAAAATACACATCAAGTGAAAAGAGTAAGAAAAATAAAATGAAAACTATCTCAATTTTTATATGAATCACACATTTAAATGATATTATTCTGGTTTTATTGAGTTAAATTTATTATTATTTATTTCACCGTTTTATTTTTTAAGGAAACTACCAAAAATTTTTTAACTACATGTATAGCTTCCATTATACTTCTGTTGGACAGTGAGTACTGTTCTAAATAATAAAATATATAACAAAAAATTCTAAATACAACTCATTGTATCAGCAGCAGTATCACTATAGCTGTATGATTATAATTTTCTATTTTTTTTTTTTTTTTTTTGGTTTGTTTTTTTTGGTTTTTCTCCGGTACCAGGAACCAAACTCACGACCTTGCACTTGCCAGGCAGGCGCTTTGCCGCTGAGCTAAATCCCCAGCCCATAATTTTCTATTTTGGATTTTAGATCTTTTGGTGGGAGATGACACTCTAATTATATTCCTAATTATATTCTAATTATATTCCTAAATATAGTCAAGATGTAAGACTTCAGAAACCAGCCCTAAGATTCTGGTCCTTAGTAGCTGTTTTTGCTAAAATGACTAAAAAAGTAATAAATGCTTATCATAAAATGAAGTTTATCACAGATAAACACTAAAATACATTACCACTGGAACATGCAGGGGTCTACTCACAGGTTCTCAGTTAAGATAGCTTGGCTTATCATTCAGCAGATTTTATCACAGGAATACAAAAGGTGACTCCAACACTAATGTCACAAGTAATGTTTAAATTTGTTCTTCAAATCTTCTTAGGATTTTAAACTCTACCACAGGAGGAAAAAATGACTAATTCTTCACACGGAGCTTCCACTGTGTACTCCAGGACCACCTCCTTGGGATGAGTATTTCATTTCTGGTAAATACATCTATGAAGCAAGTTTAACAGCTTCAGGGCCCTGAATACTTCTTTGGTACACCACTAAGTCATTCTGCAATCCCCCAGAAACCTGATGGGGAGCCAGCGCCTTGGGACTGTTGTGGAGATTGTTCAAGGGGTTCCCAGGGTTCTGACCCAGTACGCAATGCCTGGGCCACAGAGGTGACAGCAAGCAGGCACAAAACCTCCAAGCTCTGCAAAGCGAAAGGTGTTGAGCAAGGAGCAAGGGGAAAATATTTTTCCCCACCTGTTCTGCTGCCAAAGGGGCACATATAAGCACAAAAATGGAGTGAACTGTATAGTAGTAATTAAATTTTATTGGGCTTCTTTATGTAGAGATACTGGGTCTCTTCCAATTATAAGTTTACAATTTAAAAGCATTTCAGAATAATAGAGAACCAAAATTACTTAAATGGGGGATTTACTATGTTCCTTTTCCAGATTATTCTTTACAATCTTCCAAGTCCTTTGCATTTTCTCAGGATATCATTTCTGCAACCCCAAGTCTACCCTAAGGAAGCACGTGAGCTGAGAACCGAGAAGGCGCAGTGACTCTACGCCCGAGGCGACGTGAATAGCAATGAGGAAGGAACTGACACTTGTTTATGTTGAAAGAAACATAGTTATAAGGTAAGAATGCTCCCAACCTATCCTTTTTCATTTCCCCATTTTCCTGCTTAAAAGCACAGAGTTCCCCAAAATCCAGTTCTTTCTGGGTATGTCAGAAGTCCCAGTCCCCTTGTCTACACAGTGTGTACCTCAACAGTCAAGCTGTACAAACTGGGGAGCTGAGGGGAAGAGAGTACTGGCCCTCTTGCGGCCCTGAGGCCATGGCACATGCTCCTCCGTTGAGGCAGAAGGGCTCTGTGAGCTTTAAGCAAAATCATCATTATTTTGTCCTTTCAGTTAAGGCCACATGTAAACAAAATAAGCACTGATAAAGCTACTTTTAAGGATTTCCATTAATGTGATGGGAGTAGGAGCAAAATTGCAATAAATGCCCACAATATTGTGGGATGAGGAAAAAAATATTGCTGTTTTGTTAAAGAGTGCCATTATGTTTCTGGTTATAAAAAGTAATAAATGTTCATTTCATAAAATTCGGGACATACAAAGTATGGAAAAGAAAACAAAAATCATTCATAATTTTACCATGCAGAGATAATCACTGTTAATGTTTTTGTGAATATACTTCTAGACTTTAAAAGAAGAAGTCTTTTTTATGTCAAAGAAAGAAAGAATAATTGTGCTCCAGGCAGAACAAACCAGCAGGCACTCAACGGCAGCACAGGCTGATAGTAAAGAGCAAGACCTACGGAATCGGGGAGACCTGGTCAAATCCAGCTCTGACACTTACTGTTGACACAAATGTTGAACCACTGGACCTCATTATTCACTGCTTACAAAATGGAAAAGCCAACCAACTCCTAAAGTCGTCCTGGGGCTAAACGTGCGAAGAACTTCCATAGCATTTTGCCACACGGAACGTATACAGCAGATTTCATTAGAAGGGAACAAGAACAGTAAAGTTTATTTCACAGCTGTTTGCTATCCATAAACCACGATTCATCACTGGTGCCAGGAGACCAACATATATGTGCTCTCTCTAGATATCCAAGTCCTACACAAGGTGCTCCACTGAGTCAGGGAAAAAAGGTGGCCAAAGCAAAAACCGTACAATTTAGTTATAAATTAACTGCTTGTCAATGCTTCCCACATCTGTATTGCTAACTCGAGCCTTTCATCTAAATGCTGAATTCAGTTTCCCAACTGTAAGAGGATATCTTTCGCATATCCCCACAGCCACACTTACCTCATCATGTCCAGAGTGAAGGTGCTTTATGTGAATCTGCATTTCCTATATCCTGTCTCTCTCAGAGCATGACCACACCTAGCCATTCACATCTGAACTCCAAAGCTGGTGCATATAATTCTCTTGTATCTAGTCAATCACCCGGTCCTGTCTGTCTGTCCTCCCTCCTTACCATTTATTTCTTTTGTCCCTCAATAACTCTTTTATAGACTCTGTGCAACTGTGTCATAAGTTACCATTTCTTCCCCCAGTATCAGATTTTCAATTCTCTCTTTTTTAGAGTGGATTGTCTGTTTACAAATAGGTTCCTATGTGCTTACAAGACAGAATCAAAATTCCTGACACTGCGTACCCTTCCATGATGCTGTTGATGTGCTACAACCTTGCCCACTCCAGGCTGTCTCTTGCTATGACAACCACCTACACATTCACATCAGGTATTCGAATGAGCAGAAACTGGAAATACCTAGCAAGCAAAATAGGCAAGCCCCAA